GCTCTGGGATGGGGGGGCTGAAAGAGCTGGAGGGAAGCTGGAGACGGAGCTGTTCATGAATTGCATTTTGGAGAGGGGTAAGGCCTGTGTTAAGGGAGACGTGGGGGTAGAAGAGAGGGCAAGTGGAGGGTGGATCACCCTGTGCCCATACTTTCAAACCAGCTTGGTGTTCCTGGCTGGACAGGCACTAATCCTGCCTTTTTTTTGGCTTTTTCCTTGATGTTTCAAAGGGCTTGTCAGAAAAATAAAAACCGAAGAGTGCTAAACTGTACAGCTTGCAGAGTGAGCCAGTCCAACAGATGTATTTGCTTGTGTGAGGCATGGTACTGTGATAATTTTATAGCAACGTTGGTGTAGCTGTTCCTGGATCTCATCCAGTTGTGTTGGCACTAGTGTTCGTGAAGTGAGATGGGTCAGAGAGCTGCTCTGGCTGAAAACCAACCCAGGCAGAAAATGATTTTCAGCTAGGTGTAGCCTTGATCCATCTCAGTGCATGAATAGGAGGAGGTAGTAGGAAGCACTGACTAGGAATAAGGAGAATCAAATCAGCCTCTAAAGCAGTAGTTTATCATAGTGATGGTTTAAAGCGACCATAAAGCCATCAGAAGTCTTTGTATGCAGCTTGTCTTTATGTTGGAAACAGATGTAAATAGGCATGTTGTCTTTTTCTGTCTTTCAATTATACCCCACATAGTAGGATCCCAGCTGAGTTGGGAATTTTGTTTGCTATTGCTGGGAGGAAGAGCGTATTTTAATGAAACTGGTGGCATCAACAGCCTGTGATGTGAAAACTTGGAAAATCTCACCACGGGCTCCCCTCTCTTCGCTGATGGGCACCAGTGGGTGCCAGCGTTTCTTCCGTGCTGCTGTGGAACAGGCGGGCATGGTGCTGCTGAAATGCTTGAACTTCAGTTGCATCTTGTTGTTCTAACACCCTTGGGCGACTTTATTTTTGAAGAGGACATTGCCAAAACCTGCAATTGTGTTCCTGTTATTTGGAGAATAAATATTCAGACTTAAAGGAAGTGCATTAAGCTAATACTAGCTAAAATAAGATGGTGCCTTTGTTATCAAGGGTATCTTATTATATTAAAATTATGCCTTTGAGAAAGCTATTTGATGTCACTGTTACTCTCGTACTGCTTATTTTGTTCAGCAGGGCAGAGAGAATTAGCTCACTCTTTTCATGCTTCTGCTTTAGCATAATGTCTTCAAACCTTGATTTCTGTAACTAGAAATGTGTTTAAAAAAAAAAGTTTGGTTTGTGTTAATGGCATGCTTAAGTAACGTATTGTGAATAAAATAATATTCTTCTTTTTTAAAGGAATCAGGTTGATAGTGAATCATCTGAGAAATGGCCACACGCCTCAGATCCGTAAGTTGAGGACTTAAACGATGCTTTATGGAGATTTGTCTTGCAGAAACATATTTTCATAGACATTTCTTCTGAACATTTCTAGGGAAGACATGAGACTGTTCCTGCAGTGCTTTTTCAAGGAATCATTTGCTGCCGTTAGTTCCAAAGAGATCCAGGGATGCTGCACCCCCCCCAAGAACACCAGTGGCTTTGTCAGTGCTGCCAGATCAATTGGTCTGGAGATTTAATTACTCCAGGACCATTTCTACGTGCCTTATAACATTATTCCATGTTGTAATGCAGATAAAGGCCCAGTTGAGGTCCCTGAGGTCTACTAGACCATTGTAACCTTTTTCTATGATTACTGCATTGAATACAGGAGGTTAGAATATGGAAAGAGTAACATTTTGCTTAGCTCAGAGAGATGTTTGGACATTACTCTTAGGAGTACAATTTATTAAGCTGTTCTGTTGCATTACCTGTGGTTCTTGTTTATGGAGAAATTTCTACTTTCTGAACTATTTTCTCATTAATTCATATGAAGCTGATGGAAGGCCAGCAAATCTCAGGTATTTAGGAAACAAAGAATCCAAAAAAAACCCAAAACCAGTTTAGCATCATGTTAGAGAGCATGAACAAGCTGTTGTATCTTCACAGCACAACACTAGATAGGTAGTAATTCATATCCTAAAATCAATATAATCATGCGTAGCCTGGCTTTCTACCTGCATTTTGTAAAACAGCTGATTAATCCAGGTGTAGCACTGTTAGCTGCAGTTATGCTGATTCTAGTCATTGAGTCGGTTCATTTAGTACTTTCCCAAGAGGTGTGTATACTAAATTGTATTGCATATTATAAATGTGCACTAAAGATTATTTAAATAGCCTGCTTCTCATCACCAGTTAGAATACTGTCCTTTACTTGGGCGAGTGGAAAACTATCATACAGCAAAACCTGGACTATCTCATCTGTACTGGTAGAAAATGATTCTGATATTTAAAGCCAGACAGAGGGCGTCATTCTGCCGCTGTAAAACTTTGGTTCAGCACATCTAAGGGCAGTGTGCAGTTCAGGTTCTCCGTAAAATGAGAGCACACACTGCAATGAGAAAGGGTGCAGGGGAAGACGAGTAAAAATATTGATGGAACAGAGCGACTGCCTTTTGAGGAGAAGGTGAAAAGGCTAGACCCCTCACCTGGGAGAGGACACCGCAGAGGTGTCTGAGTTTAGAGAATGTGACTTAGTCAGATGTGACCGAGTTTAGAGAATCAGGAAGCTGACAAATAAAGCAAATGCAAAGCTGTTATAGTGGGGGAGTACAAGCAGAGCGAACTGCAGAGTCCTTAGACTCACGTTCTTTCTATATCGTCTGTTCTCTTGCAACTATCAAAACCAAATAGACCACTGGGCCAACCCATTAGAACTTTTTTTTAATTATTTTAATCAGACTGTACTTTGCATGCACCATTCTAAAGAATTGGTTGTGCTTTAATGTAACTGAGCAACTGCAGTGAACTCTTCTAATTTCTGTTGTGGATAATTGATGCTTTGCAGTCAAACCTTTGTTTAAGGATGTAGCGCTTAGAAACTTCTGAACAATTGTTGTCTTTGTGTGGTTTCACTGGGTTAAATTCCCTTCAGCTCGATAGTACAACTGCAGAGGTGGTTTTTTGCGTAGCAACAACAAGGAGGAAATCTATTTCCAACCAGGACAGAGCATTCTTTGTACAAAAGCTTCCTCAGACTCATTGCTTGTATGTTCTCTGTTGGCGGTAAGGTCTTCAGTCTCAGTCCAGTTAGACGAGTGACCAGACCAGAATCTGTTAGCTAGTGACTCTAGCCATTGATTTTTTAAAAGCTTAAAAGAAGAAAGGAAGAACTAATGACTAACTAAAAAGGATAAGCCTTGCCTTTACCCGATTGCTTTCTTGGCTTGGAGAAGCCTAAGTTTCACACGCTCTGCAAATGGTTTTGTCCTTGCTAACGGTGACAGTTTTAGTATTCTGAATTATCTGTGCCATGTGGCTGAAGCAGATTCTATTTGCTTTACCATCAGGGCAGAGCTTGTCAGAGCCAGTCCTCTTTTTCTTCCCTACTACGTGAGCTGTTTGGTTATGAGGCAGAGTCCTGCCAAATACAAACCAGCACGTGGGCCGTGTGGACCATTAGCACATCTGAACTTTTAAGATACTGTGATAGTACAGACATATTGAAGAGTGTTTTGATATCTGAATTTAGACTCCTCCAATTAAACTAGCTACTGACTAGTTGTGCAAAATTCCAGCATGTTAAGATCTCAGGAAGTTCAGATTGGTTTACTTGCGCAGCTTGTTGGTGTATGTCTGCTTGCTAAAGTGCTTTTCTCCCTGTCTCTGCAGGCTGGTAAGAAATGTACAGTGATCGGTGGGTCAGGATTCTTAGGCCAGCACATGGTAGAGCAGCTCCTGGAGAAGGGTTACGCGGTCAATGTGTTTGATATTCAGAAGACATTTGACAATGACAGAGTGCAGTTCTTCCTGGGAGACCTTTGCGACAAGGAGGTACAGACTAACAACAGTACATGACATGGGTAGATGGAAAGGATGTCTGTTTAAATAAATGTTTGTTCAAACAGCTTACCGAGCCTTGCCTGAAGCACTAAGACCTGAAGGCATTGCACAGGTTGTAAAAGGGTATGTAGATATGTCCCCCAGCCTTTCCCTGGGAAGTCAGTAGCCTAAGCAGTTTTCTGTGGAACCCTCATCTAGAACATTTAAAGAAATATACTTGACGTCTGCTTGAAGCTGAAAAGAACAGAACTTGTTTCTGTATTATGATTTGCATTACTGTTAGCTTAGGTATAGAGTCTAATTTACAGTCACTGTTGGTAATTGCACGTGGGTGCTCTCCTAGCTGACCTCAGCTGCATGAGAATGGCAGAATGCATCATTCCTAACAGTTAAGGCACGCTAAGGCCTCTTCCTTAACTCAGTCATGTGTGTGAGCCTTGGCAAAAACATTTGTATGCAATGTGAAGAGATGTCTCCCCACCAGTGTAAAGTATCATGTCTCAGAGCTTTGTGGCAGTCATCTCAAACGCTGACAGTGCCATGGGGTACTGCTGGCTGTTAAACCTGCTGCTGGCTGAGTTTTCTAACTCCTGTCTCCAGGTAATTTTGAGTCTCCTACCTGCACTTGAGACTATTGCAAGTAGTTAAGTCTAGATAGCCTCCAGGTCTCAGAAAGTTCCCAGGTTCTTCTCTGGAAAGAAAAAACAATATATAGTGCTTTTTTGCCTAGCAAGAAGGAGAGGACATTGTGAAGATCCTGGACAGTAATCCTATTCCAGCTGCTCACCTTTATGGAAGGAACGTGACTTGAAATTTAGCATTTTTGTTTCCATGAGAAAAAGAACTGTGTTTTATTTCCTTCCTTTTTTTTTTTTTCCTGAGTAGGCACTATTACTGTTGCTTCATTACTGTCTCATGCCATGTATCTTCTAGGCTTTGCTCCCAGCTTTACAAGGTGTGTCAGTGGCGTTTCATTGTGCATCCCCAGCACCTTCAAGTGACAACAGGGAACTGTTTTATAAGGTGAATTTTATGGGAACCAAAGCAGTCATTGAAGCCTGCAAAGAAGCTGGAGTGCAGGTAAGGGTAGAAAAGCACCTGGAGACTATAAGACACTGACGTGACTTTATAACAATTGCAGCATGGACCAATTTCAATCTAGTTTGACAGAGGGGCAGAGGTATCTGAGATACTGAATTCCTACTTGTTCTGTGAAAATTAGTAGAAGAGAGAGACTGTTGGTCTCCCACTTAGTGTCTGGTGTAAGCTCAGTCCAGGTTTGCCACAGAAAACCTACACATTGCAATCTTCCTGACTGCAGGAAAAGCATCCATTAAAATTTGTCCTACTAGACGCCTGGGAATCACCCACGGGAGAACCACAACTGACAAGTGGATTCTTTCATGCTTTAATGAGGGGAGAGCTGTAAAGATAGCTTTTCCAGCAGTGGAAGTATTCATGGCATCTATTACCTATGTGAATTCTTGACGTATAATGAGAAGGAACACACTTGTGTCATAATCTCAGTATAATTTGCTTTAGAAAGTCATTTGCCCACAAAAGAAAGAGCCAGAGGAAACCAGGCTGCTGTTCAGGCAAGTTTTTTGTTTGGGGCTTTTTTTTTTTCCTTATGTTATTTTGGTATCACATGAGTTTTCATTTAAATTCTTAGCTAATTTTCAAGCGCAAGGCACGTGAAGATTCCTTACTTATTTTGGGCAGAGATGTTGCCTCCGAAGTATGCATTTTGCGCAGTGTCCACGTACAAATATGGAAGTGATAATGTTCAGAATTAAGTGATGTGTATTACATAGGACTCCCAGCCCCACAGTTTGTTGTTTGTTGGTGTTTTTTTCCCTCCCCCTCATGTAATAAGCTGTTGTAGGAGATGGGCCACGCAGTGTTTACCTTCAGCCTTAGTCTGGATTTTGTCAGAGCAAGGGGTTAAGTCTTGTTGGAACTTGTTGGATCTAGTCATCTTTATATTACAATGTAGATCTTTAAAACCCCGTGTTTCTGATTACTCAAATACATAACTGACTTCCTGTTTTGAATCCACTAGGGTATGTTTTTATCCAACAAAAATATCCCAAGATAAGAATTCTTTTTTGGTTTAATCTACCGTGGTACTGTTATAATCAAGATAAGCAAATGTATCTTAAAAACACTCATTGTGTGTTAAGTGCTACCAAGCCAAGTGGGCACTCTGATTTTCCTAGAGATCTTTTCCCCTTGACTGGCTGCCTTGGAAGTTTGTTGAAATGTTTTAATCTCTTTTAGA